GGCTGGCTGGCATGTGGTGCTGGGGAATTGAACCGCGGTCCCTGTGCTTTGCTAAACTTGTTCTAAGTAGGTGCTTTAGACCACTGAGCCATCTCACCAGCCCCTTCCTTCCTTTCTTTCTTTCATCATTCTTCCTTTTTTTGTTTTTCTTTTTTGGTCTTTTTGAGACAGTCTCGTTATGTAGTTCAGTCTGCTCTCAAGCTCATGATGATGTTCCTGCCTCAGCCTCCCGAGTGCTGGGATTACAGGAGCACACCGTCACACCTGCCCATTCCCAGGCAAGTGTTATACTATCACCGAGGTAGTCTTGCAAGTCACTAAGAGCCTACATCGGGCTGGAGTGTTCAACCCCCTGCCTCAGCCTCCCAGAGATCTGGGAGTCCAGGAGAGTACCACCATGCTGGGCTTTAGCACAGTTATTCGAGGACTCCAGAGGCCACAGGGGCCTGTGCACAGCCCCAGCCTGCATCCCCTGTGTGGGAGGTAGTAGTGTTCGAGGAGGCGTAGGGCTGGGCCAGAAGGCGAAGAGGCTCTTCTGGCCTCACTGGCACTGGACATATATCCAGGATCGCCCCGCTCAACACCCCAGATGCACTCCAAAATGTTTGAAAGGACATTCTAGAAGGAGATAACAAGGACTGCAACTCCATGAACTTCAACAGAAGGAATCCATCAGGCAAGGCAAACAATTAAACAGAAGTGGGGAAAAGGTGGGAGAGCCAACAACAGGAAAACAACACGGCAAGGATAAGTCAATACATATCAGTTATAACCATCAATGTGAATGGTCTTAATTCACCAATCAAAAGATAGAGACTGGAAGAGTAGACGGAGAAGCAAGATCCAACAATGTGTTACACACAAGCACCAAGATGCAGGGTGCAGGGCACCGTGCCCCTTCCCTTGGGGCCTTGGAATTTCCTGGAGAGGTTTCCTGTGAGGAGGCTGAGCCAGCCCCACCTGCGGCTGCTCCGTGGGCTGTAACTCAGGCTCTGCAAGGCCTGGGGGTGGAGGGCAGGCCTCTGCCCTGCTCCGCTTCCCTCCAGTGCCCTCTCAGCGGCCCCTCAGTGCCCGTGGCCCAGTGAGCACAGGGCCTTCCTCCTCTGCAACTGCACCACAGTCCCAGCTCCTCCAAAGGCGCGTGGCTCTGATGTGGTGCGGGACCCCTGGGCCAGTGCTGAGTCTGGGGTCCAGCACCAAACACACCAGGTCACCCCACCTGTGAGCCCCGAGCATGAAAAGTCACCTCAGCCCCAGGAGGATTCCCAGAAACAGGTTGAGAAGTTGAGTAACTTGGGCACAGTCACCCCACCAGTGGGTGACAGAGCTGTCATTCGTGCCTGGTGGGGGCAAGTCCACTTCTTCCCCAGTGTAACTTCCCTCTTACAGGACGTCACCAGCAGTCACTGCCTCCTTCCAGAATCATGGGGCTGATGACCTCACAGCTCCTCAGAGCTGAAGCCCTGGTGGGGTGGAGGCTCCCTCCCCCAACCCAGCCAGATTCACGGCTTTAAACTGCAGTGGATGTCAAAAGCACAAAGCCCATCCTGGAGAGGGGCACCAAGGGCTAGAGTCACCCCATGCCTGAGCCAGGCTGGGGACAGAGAGGAAACTGGGTTATTTGGTAAGGTCCCCCATAGAGACAGGGTAGTGGGAGGTCCTTGGGCAGGGGTTTACACCTGAGCATGTGAGGTCTTGGCCTGTGTGTAGCCATAATGTATGTGGTGGCCTTAGTACAAATTGTGCTTTTAGAATGTGGTAGGTGGTCCCAGCATGCAAAGTGCACCTCAGTGTGCAGGGCCGTTGGACAAGACCTCAGTAGGGGAAGCCCCATTGCCTCAGGGCACTGAGTGTCACCTCCATACCCAGGCCCCAGGATGTTCTCATACTTAGCCCTCATCCCCTAGCCGTGTGACTACCCCAGGGAACGCCCGTGTTCTGGGAGCGCAGGCCCCTACCCAGCATCCCTCAGCCACACACACCTATGGTAAGGGTGGAGGTGTAAGCTGGACAGTTGGTGGCAGACAGCCATCCCTCCAGGCCTTCAGGAGAAGAGTGGCAGGGCGGCAAGGTCTAGGGCAAGCCAGGCCTGCTGGGAGTCTGAGCTGGGGCACCCAGTGCAGACCTCCCTTCCCTATGGGGCCTCCTATTCCACATCCTAGCCAGACAGGGAACTGGGTCTCACCTCTGGCCAGCCAAGGGACCCTGCACCCCTACCCTGCCAAGAATTCACCTCCCAGGCCGAGTGGGTGTGGCTACCTGCAGCTGGGCCTTCCCCTGCCACCCGCCCCAAGCCCAGTGGCTGGTTATAAGAGTGTTACCTGTGGGAGCTGCCACCAAACTGGTTAAGCATACCACCACTGATGAAGATGGAGCTACTTACAGAAGGCTTCAGCCCGGAGGTACCAAGGGTGCTTGTTGTAGGTCCTGTCCCCAAACTGGGCTCCTGCTGTGGGGGAGGGGCTGTGGCTAGGGGCAGGTGGTTTCTTGGGTCTGCCTGGCCTGACGTGCACAGCTGCCTTCCACTCCATGGTGGGGATGGAGGGTGTAAGCTGCACAGAACCTCCAAGAATATTCCAGAGCTTGTGGGGGCAGCCTCTGGGTAGGCACATGACAGTGGGCAACCACCACAGAAGTGTGAGCCACACTTGTGGATCACACCACCTGTGCACAAAGCCAGCCAGGAAGGAGGGGCTGTCTCTGCAGGAAGAGGGTGGCAGGTCTCAGGAACCCTCACAGCTGAGTTTTGATCCTTCTGTCACACGGCCCCTGAGTGAGAGTTTGGTATGTGCAGGTCGGTGCTGTGTCTCAGGGATCTGGGCCCTGCCCAATCACTGAGCAGCCGTGGAGGCTCCCGTTACTCCTCCAATAGCCCCTCTGGATTTCTCCCTTCTCTGCGGCTTCTGCTTCTGCCTCACTGTAACATGTAGCTGACCATCCTGCCTTGCCTGTGGGGCTTGTGTGAGCAGAGCTCTGTGGCTCGTGCAGGCATGTGCTCTTAGCCAGGCTGCTGCAAGAAATATGGAGACCATAAACCTTAGGGAAGGAACCTTGAGTCAACCCCATCTGTGTGTCCAGGAGCCCCAGAGGCTGACTTGCTCTGCTGTGTCCTGGGAACACTGAGAAGCCTACTGGAGTACATTTGGTGGGCACATGTTGGCTGGGGGGCAGCAGATGCCTACTCAGGGGTGGGCAGTGGGGTGGGGCTAGAGCCATGCAGACTGTACCTGGGCATTTGAAGACTTCCTGATTCAGATCAGGATGGGGATAATGCAAAACATCTTCATGGATCTGTTCCCTGGCTCAGAGTCTGACAGGTCCCAGTACCTAGTGACCCAGTTAGTTGTCCATTCTGGGAGTGCTGGGCCCTGGGCATGTCCCAGGACACTGGAACCCAGGGCAAGATTGGGTTTAGACCGTCAAGCCAGCCCCAGAAGCAGCTCAAGCTCCCTGGGCAGGGCCCCTAGGTTCTCAGAGCTGGCTGACCTGCTGGTTCCTGGGCTCACCTGTCCTGAAGCCTGAGGTCTTTCTTGGACATTGGTCTACCAAAACAATACCCCCACTTTGGGTTTTGGTGTTTTTTTTCAGTACCAAGGATTGAACTCAGGATCCTGTGCTTTCCAGGAAAGCACTTATTCTACTGAGCTATCTCCTCACCTCCCAATACCCTCACTTTGGGCCCTCCGTGCTGAGCAATATCTCAGCCTGACCTGAACCCACACATGGTCAGATAAGCCTGAAAGTGCCAGTCCTAATCAAAACAGCCATCCTGGCTTCTGGGGATTGGCAGAGGCCCTGGGGCTGCAGATAGTCTCCTGATCAGGCACCAGGACCATAGGGCCAGGGTCAAGGCCCAGGAACATAACATAGCCCTTCCCATGAAGGTCACCTGGGTCTGCCCCTCCCCATAGTTCTCTGCCTCACTCTAGAGTGGCAGCACAAACTCATGGCCTCAACCTCCTACAAACACCAGTCTCCTGCAGTCTTCTGCCCACCAGCCAAGCTCAGCTCTTGGCCATAAGACATGACCCTGGTGAAAGCATCCTGAGAGGAAGGGTTTGGAGCTGGTCTGGTGGGAACCAGTCTACGACGGAACCTCCTCCAAGTGACCTGACTATGTACAGGGATAGAGATGAAAGGATGCCAGGCCCCAGGTGGGGACTTCTCACTGGGAGGTGTAGGCTGGGTTGGGTGTAGGCAGGGCCTGTTAAGTTCTGCTCCTTGCAGCCAGCACAGGGTCTACAACCTTGGAACCCTCCAGGGCCAGCTGTCCATGCCACCCCTGAGCAGTCTCATACGGAGAGGCTAGTGGAGCTTCCTGCCTCCTTCAGGGAGTTGCTCACCTTCTTCTGCACCAACACCACCATCCACGGCACCATCCGCTTGGTCTGCTCCAGCCCAAATCGGCTCAAGAAAGTGTCCTGGGGGCTGCTGCTCCTCGGGACTCTGGGAGTGTTCTCCTGGCAGCTCGGGCTCCTGTTGGAGCAGTACTGGTGCTACCCAGTCATCATGGCAGTGTCTGTTCACTCAGAGAGCAAGATCTTCCCATCTGTCACTCTGTGCGACATGAACCCACAACGGTGAGGACCTGGGGTGTCCCCCTGAGGGTTGGGCTCTCCAAGTCCTGGCCTCTGCAACCTGGGAGATCCCCTTGGCTATGATCTTAGTCAAAGCCTGGTCACTGGTGCTCTCACCTCTCCAACCCCCACGCCCAGCTAAGACCTTTCAGAACCACCCTAAGGACACAGGTGCTGGGAATTCAAGTTGAAGACCAAAGCCAGGCTTTCCAGAGGGGAAGCAGCCATGTGGAAAGGGGCTATAAGCCACCTGGAAGACTCTGACCCCTGGGGGCCAGGCCAGGCTGCAGGTCTGATCTCAGCTCTGCAGCCATGGGAGGCCCAGGCCCAGCTTCCAATCCAGAGCCCCTTCCTGTGACTCAGGGAGGAGAAGGGACACAGGCCGCACCGTGCTGAGGTGTTGGGGCAACTGTGAGACTCTCCCCAGGAATGCCCAATGTGACCGACAACATGCCCCATATGTGGCCCCGTCCTCAGGCCCCGCTCCCTCCGCTACCATCTAGAAGCACTTGATGCATTTGCCCAGGAGAGTATCTATTCGCTCTACAAGTTCAACTTCAAGGAGGGCAGGGACACCCTTTTCACTAATGTTCCTGGCCCTGAGCCTCCATTCAAGCTGGACCGAGGAATCCGCCTGCAGCGGCTGAGGCACCTGGGCAACCAGCACAAAGTGGGCTTCAAACTGGTGAGGAGGGAATCCTGAGTGTGCTGCCCCAGGGAGAGGTGCTGGGTGTGTGTGTGTGGCCATGCTGACTCCATACTCTCCCAGTGTAACAGCACCGGTGGTGACTGCTTCTACCGCACCTACTCATCAGGCGTGACAGCTGCCCAAGAGTGGTACCACTTCCACTACATGGACATCCTGGGGCTAATGCCCACTGCTGGGGAGGACAGCCACCAAAGCCACTTTGTCTTGTCTTGTCGCTACGGCAGCAAGGACTGCCAGGCTAAGTGAGTAGGGCAGGGCTGGTAAGCTACTCCTTGCAGATCCACCCAGCATGGCATGGACCTATCCAGGTCCAGCTGCCCAGGCACCAGGAGTCAGCTGCCTGACGCTGCCCACAAATAGCACCCTGCAGAGATAAGGCAGGCTCTGCCTCCTCAGACGCACGATGGGGTGGCAGTTGACAGGCATGCACGATTTCAATGTGACCCTGGTTTTCAGGCACTTCCGGACGTTCCACCACCCCACCTATGGCAGCTGCTACACTTTTGAGGGTGTCTGTGCCGCGCAGCACCCCGGCATCACCCACAGTGAGTGTGAGCCCATAGGGAGTGCAGGGATGTGACTGGGGGAAGAGGGCAGGTGGGGCAGATGGCCTCACATTTCCGCGTGATCTCCACAGAGATCAGCCTGGTGCTCAGGACAGAGCCCCAAGTGGGGTTCCCTCTGTTGTCTACGAAGGCGGACATCAAGGTCATGATCCACGGACACAATCACACTCCCTTCCTGGAGCACCGAGGGTTCAGCGTACGGCCTGGGACTGAGACCACCATTGGCATCCGAGAGGTAGGAATGGGTCCTGGCCAGGTGGGGCGGGGCCTGGTAGAGGGCGGGGCCTCAGGTGGAACGTACCGCCCCCCAGGACGAGGTGCGGCGGCTTGGGAGCCCCTACAGCCGCTGCACCGACGGCTCGGAGGGCGTGGATGTGCGGCTGCTCTACAACTCTTCCTACACTCGGCAGGTAAGTCCCAGGAAAGAGAGGACCTACGTGAGCGAGGGGGCCGTGCGCGGGCAACCCCCGCTAGCTTGTGTCCCTCCCATCCCCTAGGCTTGCCTGGTGTCCTGCTTTCAGCAGCTGATGGTGGAGAATTGCTCCTGCGGCTACTTCCTGCACCCGTTGCCTGCAGGAGCCCAGTACTGTAGCCGAGCAAGGCACTCGGCCTGGGGTGAGTGAGCCCCACCCTCCTGAAGCTTTCAGGATCAGTTTCTCCTGCTGTTCTTCGGTGACATCGCTGTGCCCTGTCCAGGTCACTGCTTCTACCGTCTGCACCAGGCCCTGGAAGACCACCGGCTGTCCTGTGACTCCCGCTGCCCCAGGCCCTGCAGGTGAGCAGGGCAGTGTTTCAAGCCCGAGGTCACTGCCCCACTGCACTGCAGGCTGATCCCTGTCCTGTCCTTTGCAGGGAGACTTCATACAAGCTCTCGGCTAGGACCTCCCGGTGGCCTTCAGCCAAGTCAGCTGTGTGTACCGAGGGACATAGGGCAGGGTAGCAGTGACGGGGGAGGGAGTCAGGGTCTCTCAGTCCACCTTTCTGCGCAGAACTGGATCCTGGGTGTGCTGGGGGAGCAGACCCCACACCAGAGCCCGAGCCCCCGGAGCCACGTGGCCAAGGTGAACATCTTGTACCAGGAGCTCAACTATCGCATGGTGGATGAAGCACCTGTGTACTCGGTGAGGAGCAGACCCATGTCTCGTGGTGGGGGCTGCCCACGTGCAGCAGGAGAGAAGGCCACGGCTGACCACCACCTGCCCGCCCGCCCACCCAGGTGCCCCAGCTGCTGTCCGCCACGGGGAGCCTCTGGAGCCTGTGGTTTGGCTCCTCTGTCCTCTCTGTGCTGGAGCTTCTGGAGCTGCTGCTGGATGCCACGGCCCTGGCGCTGCTGCTGGGCTTCCGCTGGCTCTGTGGAGCACAGGTCTCCCAACGCGGAACCAGCACTGCATCAGGGCCAGCCTGCAGCCACGCAGGGCCGGGGGCTGGCACCCTGAAGTCAGAGCCCCTGGGCACCCAGTGGGGGCTCTGGACAGCATCTTCGTAGAAGAGTTAGACTGAGACTTTGTGTCCTAACCAGCCTCACCAGGGCATCTGGTCCTAAGGCTTGGCCCTGGAAGTTGTGGAGACAGGGAACTCCCCTGGCTGCTCAAGATGAGTGGGACCAGTTGCCAGAGTCCTCCCTGGCCACCCAACAGCTGAGGAAGCAGTATGACCTGGCCAGAGAGCCAGTCACCAGGCACGCGGAACACATAAGAGCCTCCCTTTCCCCATCCTGCCAGGGAGTGGCTTCATTCTCCAGGAAGCTCAGGACAGGGAGGAGGGGTGTCCCCGCCTCTCTGTACGCCTATATTCAGATAGGCACCTACAGGCTTTGTGAACAGGTGAGGACAGGAGGGCCTCTACCTGCTGGTATGTCTGATGGGTGCCTCATCTGTGTCTCCAAGGCAGCTGGCTCCGTCGATACCTGTGTGCCGGTAGGAGTATCTGGCAGGCTGCCTTGGTTTCAGGCAGCCTCTGAGCAGGCAGGAGGGAGTATGTGATGATACCAACTCATCCAACTCATCCAGTGTCTCTAAACTGCTCTGTAATAAAACTGGAAATTCTACCTGCTGCCAAGTGTGCGTGTGGGTCTCCTCAATCACTCATCTTGGGCTGAGCATCACGCAAGCATACTGGGGGCCCAGGGCACTCTAGGATCAGGCCTGGGATACCAGCCCCAGGCTATCCTTGCGGGTCGACTGGTCCACGCACCCTCACTGACAATAAAAGACATGACCTTGCCCAAGGAAAGGTAGAGGGCCAGGGAACAGGGGCTGGTAGGGCCAGGCATCAGATTTTGTCAGAGAAGCCCCAGATCCCCCATCAGACTTCCAGCAGCTTGTCTGAATTGTCCTTTTGAGGAAAGGACACTGACGGTAGGGTCCGCTACTCAGTGCTGCCCCTTAGGAGGTGAAGAGGATACAGCCGCCCTCCCCCCACTGAGACAGAGCAGAGTAAGGCGGGTGAGCCAATGAGCAGGCAGTGGGCACAGGCTGCAGGTTTATTAACTGGGGATGATCAGAGCAGGGGTGCGGGGTCCCACCAGCCAGGGGATGGCAGCGTGGGCAGTGGGCGGAGCTCAAGCAGGGAGGAAGAAGCTAATTCTGCTCCTTAGGGCGACAGCCAGCAGGCAGGAGAGTCAGGGGCCCAGTCCAGTGCCCACCTTACTGCCCATGGAGCCTCCCAGGCAGCATTTGCATAGTGACCAGCCAACTGGTCTGGAGCTGACCAAGAGCCCATAGATTGAAGAGACCCAGCCTCTGGGTTCTTACAGAAAAAGGGACTTTGAAGGCATTTGTGGGCCCACCAGTGAGGGACAGACCCCTGGACCCATGGGAGGGTCCAGCCCAAGGGGCAAGGCCAGCCAGGAGACAGGGCAAGAGGTATGGAGCCTCCCCCGGTGGCAGGCAGAGCCAGGGTCAGGATGGTCCTCGAGAGTCCACAGAAAAAAGACGCAGACAAGAACGAGGTCATTGTAGAAAATCCACTCAGTGGGTAACAAAGAACACCGGGTGTGGGGTGAGAAGGGGCAGTCGCTTTATGCACAGGCTTTGGGGCCGAGTGCCAGAGATTTGCCTCTGGAGGAGGCAGGGACAGGTCTGGCACTGGGGGCCAGCATGGCCAGCCTCCTGGCCGTGGGACGCCCGCACCCAGCCAGGGTGGTGACCCTAGCCCAGAGCCCCATCCACCCAGCACCCGCGGAGCCCAGCCTGGATGCAGGGTCACTAAGTGAGGTACTTGGGTTGGTTCCCTGGATGGGCTGCCCTCCTACCTGTGAGGGCTCTGGTGGCCAGCCACCAGCCTCAGTCACAGGAGGGGCTGTGGAGGGACAGGGAGACCCAGCTAGCGGGTCATTGCTCTGGGGCAGTTATGGTGGGGGCACCAGGTGATATAGGCCCTGAAGACAGAGGAGCACGAGGTGACAAGGGATTTAAGAGTGGTTTGTGAACAACCTGGGCCCCCAGAGAAGGGGCCACCTGAGGCTAGAGGGTCCTCAGGTGGGATGAGGGGCACCAAATTATGCAGCACCCCCCCCAAATGTGGAGTTTCAAGACTTAGTGCTGGGGTGCCCCTCCCATCCCAGGGTCCAGGCACCAGAGGGAGGGACGAGCAGGCAAGTGGGCTCCAGGAGTGCCCGGGCACCGGGGCTGTCGGGATGGACCCACGGTTCACACGCACAGGGCCATGGCTGGGCTGGGACCAGGGTCTTCAGGGGCATGCAGGGCGTCCAGGCCGGGCAGGCTGTGGTCCCACAGCTGCCCGGCTGGCCCGGCCCTAGCTCTCCTCCAGGTGGAGGCTGATGAATTCCTGGATGCACCTACGGTACTGGAGCTCTGTGGGGCTGCTGCCCACCAGGGGCCCCGGCTGGCCAGACGGCGCCTCAGCCTCGCGCATCTCCTCAGCCATTCGTGCCAAGCGGAGCCTGGGGAAGGGCGCAGCGTGAGGCCCCGCCCCTCCCGAGGTAGCCCTGCCTTTCGCAGGGGGGCCCCGCCCCCAGGCTGAGGCTCACAATGTGACGATGTCCGCGTTGGCCGCCTGCACTGCTATAGTCAGGGGATCCTGCTGCTCCTGGTCCAGGGCGTGCTGATCGGCCCCTCGCTTCAGGAACAGGCAGACCTGGCTGGGGGCAGAGGGCCATGTTGGGGCGGGCCGAGGCCGGGGGCAGAGCAGGTGGACCTGGCCAGGCAGCGGACTCACCCGGTGCGGCCCAGGAGCGTGGCGTGATGCAGGGGCGCGCGGCCCCGGCTGTCTCTTTGGTTCACGTCCGCTCCGTTTTGCAGAAGAAATTCACACACAATCAAGGAGCCCTGGGGAGCAGCGTGGGGGCTCAGCCTGAGCTGGGAAATGCCTATCCACCCACCAGGGCTCTGCGCATGGGCTTGGCAGTACCCCGCTCACCCCCAGCACCGCCTGCATCAGTGGAGTCTTGCCCTCGTTCTCCACATCCGCCCAGTTGACTTCAGCCCCATGGGCCAGCGCCGCGGCCAGCGCGGGGAGGTCACGGGTGCGCGCCGCGCGGTGCGCTAGCAGCCCGGGATGCAGCTCGCGCACGTCCGCCAGACTCCAGGCCTCGGCCTCCCCATCCGCCTCGCCGCTGGACTCCTCCGATTCTGCGCCCTCTGCGGGGAGGGCCTGGTTAGACGGCGGCACACTGAGCGTACTGGAGATTCTGGGGCTGGGACTGCCAAAGTGGGGAGGGGCGCCACCCACCCTCCTCGGTGACGCTGTCCACTACCGAGCCCGCGCCGAAGGCCAGGACATCGGAGCTGCCATCGGAGCTTCCCCCCAGGCCACTGTCGCTGCTCAAACCTGCAGGACCGCACGGGGAGGGGTTCCTGAGCACAGGGCCCCCCACTCCCGGGGTAAACTGGAGGACAGGTTACCCTACCCTCCTTCAGGAGGCCAACCCCAAGGACCAGCCCTCTTTGGGCAGTCGAAAGGAGCCCTGTCAGAAGAGGAAACCAGGAACAGTGTCAAGGAGCCCTGGACAGCTCAGGCACAGCAAAGCAGGGGATGGGTGTGCCGGCACAAGTCTTCCAGCATCCGTCAGGCAACCGAGGAGGAGCCAGAGGCTTTGAGCCAGTGCAGCAGCGCCCTCTGCTGCCCACCCCAGGAGTACACACCACCCCCGCACAGGCGCTTGTGCGCACAGCCTGCACGTTCACACACACACTTCTACACATCACTTCATAGTCGGGGCCTCATCCTCCAAAACAGTGGCCAAAACACACCCAATCCCCCTGATGCCCTTCTGGGCATGGCCTGGAGCCCCAGTTCTGCCTGGCCTCATCACTCCTGCTGAGGACACATGTCCTTCCAGTTTCTGATCAGACCTAGTCCACACTTGTCTCCTCGCCTGTCCCTCCCCTGCTGGGATGACAGCAAGGGGTGAGCAGCAAGGTGGGGCCCCTGGTACTTACTACGTGGACCAGCCCCCGCCGCCCCTGCATCGAAGTAGGAGAATAGGGAGTCCAGCTCATCTGGGCAGAAGAGGGAGTCCCGGCGGAACCTGCGCTCCAGAGTGCCTGCTGCAGAGGTAGCTGCTTTTCAGGTGGGAATCTGGGCCTCAGGGTGGGGAAGTCCCTGCCATGCTTGCAGAGGACCAGAGCTTCCAGGCGCACCCTCAAGGTCCTCCCTCCAGCCCACCCACCCCACCAGGACATGTGACTTACAGCTTACTCCCACCCCCACTCCCAAATGGCTGCAGGGAGCTGGTCCTCAGCACGGCCCAGTGGCTGGAGGAGGCTCCTACCTGAGGACAGAGCAGCCAAAGAGGGGAGGACAGGCTCAAGCCTGGCTTTGCGGCGGGTGGTGGGGACACGGGGGGAGCTGTGGGGACGCTGGCACTTCTGTGTCCGCCAGTGCCTCGGGGCTTCCAGGGCAGGTACTGCAGGCAGCTTCTGAAGGAACTTCTTTTCCACGTATTTGTCTTTGATCCAGGCTTCTTTGTCCTGTCTGGACCAGGACAGATGTGAGCTGCATTCAAAGGCGGGGGCTCCCCAAGCCATGCTAGGTTGTACCCCACCTCACCTGGGGCTGCTGGCTGTGGGCTTTCTGTTACCGGGGCGCTCACACTGGGCCTCATAGATCTGGTTCACAGTGCTGTTTCCAAGCTCACACATCAGCTGGTGGCAGTGTGGTGTGGGGTCAGTCAGTCCGAGCTCAGAGACGCAGGTCCCATCTCCCCATAGACCCAGTGGCCTCCAAGACCCCCCAATACCTTCAGCAGCTCTGGCTCCCAGGAGTCCAGCGTCAGAGATCTCACCTTGGAACAGTGGACACCAAGGCTCCTAGGCAGAAGGCCCAGGGCAGAAATGAGTTAGAGATTGGCTTCCCCCATGGCAGGCCCCACCTCAGGCTCAGCCCCACCCTCTGAAGTCAGAAGCACCTGTGGATGCCTGAGCACTCGATGCAAAGCAGTACCCCCAGGTTGATGCTGGCCCAGCGGGGGTCCGGCTGGCCACAGTCGCCGCACTGGCTGTTGCCAGCCACACTCTGCACCCGCTGTAGCACACTCTCGCCTTTGACCCCGCGCTCCCTTGACTCTGAGGTGGAGTCGATGCTGCTTGTAGATGGGGATGCTGTGCGGTCCAGTCTCTGGGGGACAGTGTGAGGAGCCACTGAACCCTTCAGCTCTAGCCTGACTCCCCAGCAAGGCTGGGAACCATCAAGCACAACTTTGCACACACATGTGTACCACACATATGTACATATGTTTGGCATGCACACAGGCTGCAAGCACACATGCAGCCTTTAGGAGCAATGTCACGTGTATGCACATGCATGTGGAGGGCAGGGAGGGACACACCTCACTGTAGCAGCTGTCAGGGCTCTCCCGGTAGGCAGAGGCAATGCTGGCCTGCACAGCTTGAACCCAGGCCTGGCGTAGCTTCTCTGAGTCAGCCTGCAGCATGCAGCTCCTGGAGGGAGGGGTTGGTCAGGCCAGGTGGACAGGGCCCCCCCACCCCATGCTGGGCTGGCCCTCCTCACTTGGTGGGTGACACGACCTCGAAGCAGAACCTCCGCTCGATGTCCTCACATGGCTTCACAGAGCAGAGGCGGAGATCATCCACCACCACGGTCAGCACGTCCTGTGGGCAGCAGCACTGTGGCCCACAAGCTCACCAGTTCCCTGCCCTGACTGACCACCTTAGGGGCTTCTTAGGAGCTCCTCTACCTTAGGGGCTTAGCCAACCCATTTCCAACTCCCTGTTCTCCTGGTCTTTGGGTTTGGGTGCTCCTCAGCATTCTCAGCCCCATGTGAACCCCACTAGCTAGCTCACTCCATAGTACAGGATCCAGGGTTCAGCCCCTGGTGAGCCCACTGCGGTGCACCTTGAGCTTCTTCTGGTAGACCAGCTGGCTGTTCTGGATGGAGAACCAGCGCCTAGCGAAGGAGACAGGGTGTCAGGGCCAGGCAGAGCTGGCCCCCATTCACTCTGCCCTCAGCTCCTGCTTGAGGAAGGCCCTCACCGGTTCCATGTCTTGAAGGCATTGCTGGCCCTCTTGAAGAGATAGCCCTCCATTACCACGCCACTGGGTGCATCGACATCAAATTCTACTTTAGATTCATCATAGGAAAAGTCCTGGGTGGGGGGAGCCAGTCCTCAGGGAGCGCAGGCCCTGGTCTCTGGCACCCCATGTCCACCAGAGAGGAAGTCCAGGTGAGACCTAGACTTCCTCTAGGAAGGAGGCCTCTGCCTCCAGGTCTCAAGAGCAAACCCCTGGTATTCAGAGCTGGGCTGAGTGCTTGAGCCCTACCCCCAGGCCTGCAGGAATAGGAGGCTGTGACCAGGAAGGAAGCTGCCCCCTATCCTGTGTGCTGTGCATGTTGCCAGCTGGGCCAGCTCCAGCTGCCCAACAGAGGCTCATTCAGAGCCTCGGGTGTCCTGAGTGCCTGCCATCTAGCAGGCCAGGCTAGGGGAAGCAAGACCTGGCCACCTGCTCCGAGGCTGAACAGGGACAGGAAACCACAGTTGCCACACTCTCACAGAGGGGACAGGGTCTAGACTCAGCCTGTGTCCTGCTGGTGCCAGCAACAGCCCACAGGTGCCACCGGTGGTATCCTTGATACTGAAGCACCCATGGGGGAGGGGCTCTCACCTGCAGCAGCGTCTAGGGAGGACAGGTAGAGAGAGACCAGTAAGTGACTGTCCCCCCAACCTGTGCCAGCGCTGCCCCAACCTTCCTGGGCCAAAAATAGCCACCCTGACTGAAGTCACACAGAGGTGACCACAGTGGCAAGGAGGTCTCGAGGTGAACCAGGCCTGCCCTGTGCAATTCCTTAAGTGGGCAGTTGAGACAGCTCTAGGAAGAGGGGTGTAGTGTGTGGATTCTAGCTGGGCTTATGGGGCAGGGGCATGGAGGGGGTGGGAACATGATTCTGGGAGCCCCTTTAGCCGGGCCTCACCCGCTGCTGGATGGCAGCATGCTTGCGCTCCATTTCCCGCTTCTCCACAGCAGAGTCAATCACCAGCTGGTCCAGCTGTAGGGAAAAGGTGTCAGGGTGGTCCCCTCTCTGGTCACCCAGGCCCTGCCCCAAGGGCTTACCTCAGCTGCCAGCTTCTTCATGTACGGGTCAAGCTGGTGCAGGAGGCTGTAGCCCTGCTGGAAGAAGCTATACTGGGCATGCATGAAGGACAGCATCTGCAGGTGGAGGGCAGAGGGCCGGCCAGTGACTCACAGTCCTAGGGACCCCAGCACCACAGGCCTCACCACACTCAGGCAAACCAGCACTTGTGGACCACCCCACGCTCATGGACATCCCCACCAGCATCACTTACAGAATCCAAGATCTCAAACTTCTTCTTGGCCTGGAGAACATTGATCTGTGGAAGAGGAGCCCAGAGGTTGAGGCTCAGGCCCAGATGACCATGATTGCCCTGACCAGAGAGCACTTGGCCAGGCCAGTGGGATTCTAAAACTTGAGCCCCTGCTCACGCAACTCATCCTCCCATGATCCCAGAGTCTTCCCTAGCCCAGCATGGGGATTATGAGAACAGGGCCAGGGATGCCATGCAGGGCTCCCAAGCCCCCATCTCAGTCTGTTCCAACCCCCAGACCTCTAGCAGGCCCTGTCCCTGCCCTAGGAGCTGTGCCCTTTGCCTGTGCTGACCTGGAGAACATAGTCCAGTGCAAGGTGGCGGAAGCACTTGCGGGTGAGTGTGAGGGCACCTGTGGCCTCCTCCACCTCATGAGGCCGGTGCCTTGGGGCCTGGGCATTCCTCACCAAGGAGAGCTCCATGTCCTCTCGCACCTTATCAAATTGCTTCTTGGTCTCTTTGAATTTCCGCACATCCCTAGGGTGCAGCATGTGTCAGGTCAGGGCCAGAAGTCAGAAAGCGCATGATGGACCCGCATGCCCTCCGTCCCCCAACTTCTCCCTGGGCCCTCCTCTGCCCCGGCATGGCCTCCTTCTCTGCCTCCCTGCTTTTTAGTCCAAGCTGTCTCTTCCTGGACTCTCAGCCCTAGAATGACCCCCACCCTTCACCACCACACCCAATGCCAACTCAACATTTCCCTCAGGAGAACCCGGGGCACCCCAGTCACACACGCGTGGGCCCTGGGAGAAGGAGCATCGCCTGGGTTTTCTCCTCTGCGTTGGCAGCCACAGAGGCCCCGGTCACTCACTCTTTAATGAAGTTGTGGAGCTGCTGTCGCACAGATCTCTGGGCCTGGTCAAATAGGATCTGGGGGAACCGCAAGGAAGAGTTTTGGGGACTTTGCCTCCATTGGGTCCCAGAGTTAAGGCCACATCTATCCCACCCCACGGTGAGAGCTAGGGGGCTCCTCCCAAACTCTGAGTGTGCCAGCTCCCTGTCCTAGAGCTGGTCTGGGAGTGACCCTCAGCCTGGGCCAGTACCCAGAGACAACAGCTGTGGCCACCTGCCCAATTCTCCACTAGGCTCTCAACCGGCCTCCCAAGGGTCCCTCAACAGTTCTACCCAAGCCACACCCAACAACTTGAACGGACCACGGGCCACCCCACAACAGGAAGCACCCGACCTACGGGCCAGAGTGGGATAGGCGTTGCAAGTGGCAGGGGCTTTTGCAGCTCCCCCACAGCTCTGTGAGTCAGACCCCCACAAGGAGCAAGGGCTGGGCCAAACCAGAAGAAAACAGACAGACAGAAAGACAGATGACAGACAGACAGGCAGACAGGCAGGCAGGCAGGCAGTATGAGCCATCCTGAGCTGGTTTATTTCTGAGCTTCCCCTGCAGGGGTGTGGGCCCCTTGTTTAGTCTGGGGCTCTGGCTCTCAGGCCTTGTTCCGCTTCCCACCCTGTGTGCTTCGGCCTGCTGTGGATCTACCCACCCACGTGGTGCTCAGGGCCCATGGGGTCACACGGACCCTCCTGAATGGTAGTGAGGTTGTCACCCAGAAACAGCCCAGTCTGGGACGGAGAACTCTGCTCAACTGAACCTCCAAGGTCAGCCTGTACCAAAGGCCTTCTGCCCTCAGCCCTGAGCCATCTGCTACCTCCCCTGCCCCCGGGATCCTGTGTGGACACTTCCTGGGACATGGAATGGCCCCTGGAGATGGCCCCACACTCTGCTGACTAGCAGATACAGGGTGGCTCCCACCCTCACAGCCTGGAAGAGTGGACCGTGTCCCCTGCCCCCTCTGCCCCACCGGACCACCAGCCTAGCTCTGGGCAGGCAGGACCTTCAGGGGCTCTCAAAGCTCACCGTGTGGAAGTTGACCATCTCCTGCAAGCTGTCACCAAACCGCTGCAGACATTCCTGGCGAGAGGCAGGAGAGCCACACTGAGCCAGGCCCCAGTGTAGGAGGAGCCTCCTCTGAAACAGGGGACACCCTCCCCTGCCCACAGAACAGAGGGCTGCACCTGATCAGCGCACAAGTACCCATCTGCTGGAGGCCTGGGCCCTGGACAGGAGCTGCCTCCCTGACTCTACCCCACCTCAGGGTCAAAGGTCAACTGGCTGCTCACCGAAATGACTGTGTCACCCTGGCACTGCTGGGACAGGTCTCGGACACCACTCACAAAGAGCCTGTTGGTGGTGACATAGGCCTTGCCAGCCTCGATCATGCCACTGCACAGCTTGACAAGCTGTGGACGGACAAGTAAGCAAGGTAAGGGTCTCATAGCCTTCCCAGGTAGGAGGCACCCACACTGGCCACAGCTCCCAGGGCAGCCAGAGTTCCATCAGGGTCCCTCAGTGCCTGCCCAGGACTGGAAGAGCTGCAACTATGGTTTTCCTGTCGGCCTGGGGTGAGTGGGGGGCTCACTGTGTGGAAGCTGACCATCTCCACAGGCGGTCAACTCCACACAGTGGAGGAGCAGAAGGTGGGGCAGGACAGGGAGCCTCAGGCAGGATCAGAGGGCCAGTCTTGTGACCAAGAGCCAGAGACATCCTCCCCTGGCTCAGAGCCCATGCCCTTCCCCACCCTCCCCTCAGCCCCCAACCCTGTCATACCAGGCACAGCCCACATAGCAGCTGTCCCCATCTAGCAGCCAGCAGGGGCACAGGGGACATAACTCAGGCTATCCTGCTCAGAGGCACAAGCCTCAGGGTCCAGGTGGATATGTGTGGCCCTGGGATTTGGGCAGTACCACACAAATGGGTCTGTGGGCAGACGCAGGTCCGGGGCAGAAATCCTGCTCCACCCAGGAGGTGCATATGAGTTCTGACTCCTGGAAGGCAGGTTCTGCCACTCAGCCACTCCCAAGTCTGGCTGGGTGTGGCAGCAGGGCAAGCTTGGACCCTCCTGTGCCTCAGGCCACTCCTTACCTTGTCCAATTTGGCCTCGATCTCCACGACATCTGTTTCTACCTCATCAATGGTTGCTCTGCAACAAGAATGAGCAGCAACCTGTGCTGACTAGGGTCAGGTGGGGGTTCCCTCTCCATGTGTACCCCCCAGGGGCCTGCTATGGGAAACTGAGGGCAAACACTATGTCTTTGGGGGCAGGACTGGGGCCAGGTCCAGTGACTGGAGACACCCAGCATCCATACCCATTGACACTCCAGGCAGGAAGGGGCCATGTGGCTGCAACCCCCCACCTGGCTCCCTCCAGCTGCAGCATGGGGGAGGGGAGCAGCAGGGGGCAGTGATGCTGCCCATGACAGGCTGAGCCTCCCTCCTGTTCAGGGCTCAGCATTAGCCCTGGGCCCCTGAGGACATCTTGACTCCTGAAGTTCCCACCCCTCTGTTCTTCCTGCAGCCCACCCTGGCCTGGTGGTTGTGGCCCCCATGTGTAAGGCTGGAGCAAGGGGGCCAGGAGACCCCAGACCAGGTTTGCTTCAGAACTTGCTCCCACCAGAAGGGCCTGACAATGGGGCTGCCTTGGGGAAGGAAGAGTTAAGCAGTGACATCACCAGGAGAAGCCACCGGAGAATCCCCGGAAGCCAGAGGCAGATGGATCAGGCACGTGACCCCCCCACACCCCCCCCCCTGGGAACAGGAAATAAGGAAATAGGGCCAGGATCCCAGCAGCACCCCGTTCATACACACAATTGGCTCAGCTGAGCTGGGCCCATCTGGCCAGCCTAGGATGAGGTACTCTGGGATGGGCTCAGCCTTGGGCAAAGGGTCTAAAGATGGGGGACACCCTGAGGCAGCAGCTCCTACCCCTTGCTGCCCTCATCCTTCAGGGCAGGTTCTAGAGTTTACCAAACTTGGGGAGGGGCCTGCAGGTCACCAGGAGTATGATTTAATTAGTAGCTGGGACCAAAGTGGCCAGGCTGCCTAAACCAGGGCCCATGACAGGTTACCCACCTAAGCAGGACATCAAATTCCTCCAAATAGCACCCTCCTCACAAGGGAGTATGGGGATGTTGAATCCCAGGGTGGGGAGAGCACAGAGAAAAGAAAGCTCAGCAGCTACTTGGAGGATCCCAGGCAGGATGCCCCCTCCCCCAAGCCTCCCAGAAGAAATGCCCTTCAGCTGAGAGCCCCTCCCACATCTCCAGGCTGTATGGCAAACCCCACAATACTGCCTGGACCCTGGGCCGAGGACCCAGACCCAACCGCTGCTGTAGCTGAAGGTCCTAGAACACAGAAGGGACTGTCTGCCTACCAGTCAGTGTTACAGTCCCCCACCCCTGTCCCCCAGGCAAGCTGGATGGCCCAGACAGCTGCACTGGAGTTGCCGCCTGCCCACAGTCCAGGAGCACCTGTCTCCAGGAGGTGGCAAGGGCAGGGCTGCACTGAAGCTGGCAGAAGTGTCCATGGAGACACAGTGGGCACTCAGCAAAGGCTTACAGGACCAGCACCATCCTGAGAGTTCCTTAGATTGTGGAAGATCAGAAGCAGGCCGTCCTTCACTCAAGCCATGACTCAGTGCCTGAGCCCCACCCAGGGCAGAGGCCTCCAAGGCCTGGTAGCTCCCTTCCTGCTCCCTTGGACCCCCAGTCAGTGGCCAGGACATTCCTGAGGCTGTCATGGTTGGCCTAGCCTGGCCAGCAGCCCCCAAGCAGGAATCCCCCCTTGCAGACTGAGCACCCAGCTCCACGTCACTTCCAGATCTTGCCAGCTCTACCCAGATTTGTGACCAGGATGATCAGCTTGCAACCTCACTGACACCTGAGAGCAAGTGGGCAGGGACTCCCCCAAACCAGTTAGGTCATAGCACAGTCCAGAACCCACTGAGCTAGGCACCTGTAACCCTAAGACCGAGGTCCAAGTCAGCATCCTCAGCCCATTGCAGAAGTGTTGCAAAGGGAGGAAACAGGAGGCCCTGCAGGTCTAATAGGATGTTTTTGGGAGTGAATGGTTACAGCACCCTCCTCCAGACCCCTCTATGGGGGGGGAAGAATGTGTTAGAGGCTTTTAGTGAAGGGCCAAGGTGAACCTAGTGGGCTCCTGCCTGGACCAAGCCCTGTCAGAGAAGCCCTGGCTAAGCCCCACTCTCTTTCCTGTGCAGAATCAAGCTGCCTGATTGCTCAAACCCCTTCCCTCATTCAGTTGTAACAACAAAGAACACAGGGAATCATTCCTGCTGAGCTGGGCCTGGGCCACTCTAAGCTGAGTTGACCACCCCATTACCCCATCTCTCCCACCTCCCCACCCAGTCCTGAGGCTTTGCTTGCTTACTCCTGTGTGGGGTAGTTTTGTAAAGGGCTAAGATCTAAGCAAGCTGGGGGAAACTCCTGGAAAACCAGCCTGCATGCAGACATCTGAGCAAGCACACATATGCAGAAGCAGGACACATGCTCACACACATGCAGCAAGGCCATGCACACATAGATATGTGCTGCCAGGGATAGAGGCATACACACACAGGCATGCACTGGTGCTGGAACATGCACACGTGTGTACAAAGTAACATGCACATCAGGCTGATCCCATGCAGAGGTACACTTACACACAGGACCACCCGCGCATCACAGCTGCATGAATGCATCCAGCTTGCCAGCCTGGTGGTGCAGCTCACCCACACATACATGTGCATAGTCTGGCACACGAAGGAAGGGCAGAATGGCAGAGCTCACTCATGCACACCCATGCACACACATCAGTGGCCTTGAGAAGGTTCACATTTGCAAACAACACACAGGAGATGCCCTGTTTCCCAAACATTGCCTAAGGAGGTGGATGTACATTTGTGTACGTGTTGAACTCGTGGCTCACACAGATGTGCATGCGAACTATGAAAGACACAAACCCTGAGGTGCAGAGAGCCCTTGCCTCCCAGTCGAAACCCCCATTTCCTTCTCCATCACTCTGTGCACCCCTAAACCTCCAGAGCCCTGGGCCATCTACCAGGGGGCCACCCTCAGGCCCCCAAACGTGGCTACAGCTGTCTGCGCCTGTGAACCGCCTGGACACACGGTCCAAGAGAGAGCAGAGACAGACCAGCCTTAGACCCACACAACCCTGCCCAGGGCTGGACTGCAGGGCTTCAGGGGGCTCAGTCGAAGCAGGTGGTCACCTCACGAAGATGCAGACACAAAGCGGGGGTGGACAGTCCCTGAGGTGGCCGTATCCATGACTGCCGGGCCGCCCACGCACACACGCTCGCGCGAGGTGACCAGCGCGGAGACGTCTTTGTTCCGGGCCCAGGGTCAGGGGCGGGGAGGGGTCCGAAGCTTTGTTCGAGGCTGGACCCCCCACCCGGTGCCCAGTGGCTGCGTCGCGACTGCAACGCCGAGCACCCGCCCCGCGCGGCACAAAGGCGGCCGGCCCCGCCCGCGCCCACTGTGGGCCCGCGCACCTGAAGCGCGGCGAGTCCTTGATGCATTCCTCGAACTCCACCGTCATGGCTGCGGCGGGGCTCACTGGGCCGGGAACTGAGGCGTGCCGAGCGGCATCCCCAACGGCCGCCCGCCCGTCCCGCCTGCGCCGCGCTAGGCGCCCGCCCGCCCCGGAATCAGGCCGCCGCGCCGCGGCCCGCCCCGCCTGTCACTGCCGGGGAGCGTCGCCAAAATCCTCCGCCGCGCGCTCCGCCCGCTGTCACTGCCGGGGAGAGTCGCCAAAGTCCGCCCCCGCCCTCCGTCAGCGTCGGGGAGTGTCGCCAAACGCTCGCCCGGGGTCCACAGAGGCGGGTCAAGGACCTGGGAGGGCCGCGACAGTCTGGCTCCGGGGACCGTCGGCTGGGCCGCGGGAACTTCGAGGGTGTGGACCCCACCCGCAGCAGCCATCCCGACCATTGCGCAACTCGGGGCGTTTGCAAAAACCACATATGGAAGGATTTGACCAGGACGGGCGGACAGCCACGCCCCGGGAGGACCGGGCGGGCGGGTGGAGGGGAAGGCGAGAAAGGGAACGAGTGGAGGGACGAAGGGAGGGCTAGTGCGGGTCCTGCATGGGGTGAGCGCGCGTCCCGCGTTGCCCCGTCGGAGGCGACGGGTCTTTTCGCTGGCCAGCAGGTGGCATACTTTGAACTCACTCCCTAAGACTGGCCCCGCCTCTCATCCCGCCCCCCGCGCGGGTCCTAACCTAGCGCGCAGGCGCAGGGGCGTGGCCAGCCCCCGCGACCCCACGTGCGGTCGCCGCCAGCCGCTGGCCATGGGTCTGGCGCCGGCGGTGGCGCGCTACCTTGTCTACTTCCAGTACGTGGGCACAGACTTTAAGTACGTTTTCCAACCACTGCCCTTCCAGCCGCCCGTCTCTCCACTCTGGGTCGTGGAGGGGACGCGAGCCTGCTGGGGAGCCCGCGTGGAGGACAGGATGTCCGGGCGGGGGTGCCCAGAGGTTGGGGGGACGGGAAGCGCTTTGTCCGGCCTCGGGGCGGCGGGGCGGGGGCTCCGCGGACGCTGCCCATTGATTCCAGTCGCTTCTGCCCGCAGCGGGGTCGCAGCTGTCAGGGGCGTCCAGCGTGCTGTCGGGGTGCAGAACTACCTGGAGGTGAGGCCCTTGCTGGGCTGGGAAGCGAACGTGCCCGGGATGGGAGGGGGCAGGGGAGCACCCTGCGCGCGTGGAGCGCTGCCGCCATGTCCGGCCCTCGACCTGCACTTTGCAGGAGGCTGCAAAGCGGCTGAATTCGGTGGAGCCAGTCAAGTTCACCCTCTCCAGCCGCACGGATGCAGGGGTCCATGCACTCAGCAACGCGGCGCACCTGGACGTCCAGCGACGCCAGAACAAGCCGCCCTTTCCCCCCGAGATTTTGGTCAAGGCCCTCAACACCCACCTAAGGCACCCGGGAATCAGGTGAGCAGGACAGCCCTGTGCTCTGCTCTTGGCCCTGTCCCGCCGCAGGGGTAGGCTGAGACCCAGAAATACTTTATGTCCCTGAAGAACTACGAGAAGAGGGCGCCAGGTACCAAGGTGTCACCTAGATGGGTGGGCAGGCTCATTCCCCCCCTGAGCCTGACTTGTGGCCGCAGGGTCCTGCAGGCCTTCCGAGTGCCCAGTGACTTCCACGCCCGCTACGCAGCCACTTCTAGAACGTACATGTACCGCCTGGTGACAGGCTGTGCCTGCCATCATCACCTGCCAGTGTTTGAAAGGAACCTGTGCTGGGCTTTACCAGCAGAGTAAGTATGGGCTTGAGTGACAGAAGGGGTTTGTAGGCTCCCTCCCTGGAGTTCCCTGTCCCAACATCCCCCTGGCTCCCTCCCTTCAGCCGCCTGGATGTGGCTGCCATGCAGGACGCTGCTCAGCACCTCCTCGGGACACATGACTTCAGGAGCTTCCAGTCAGCTGGCAGCCCAGCTCCATGCTCGATTCGCACACTGCGCCACATCTCAGTGTCCCCTGGCCTGGCCAGTCCCTTTGTCCTCTCTCAGGAGAGCAGGTGAGGATGGGTGGCCTTCTGCTGTGGCCCTGCCCCAAGGGACTAGCGCTGATCTGGAGGCCAAGGCAGTTGAGCAGTAGATGGTGTGCAGGCCATCCATAGGGCTGCCAGCTGGAGAGTGCAGACCAGACAGCCCCTGGCCTTTTAGCTGTGCCCTCCCCCCACACTGGACCTCTGCCAGGCTAGGGAGCAGAGAACAGAATGCTGCCTTTCTCCAAGGACCCTTGCCCTGCCCAGAGCTCTGCCCAGCAGATGGGTTTTGGCAGCTAGTGAAAAGGCTTCACTGCTGCTAGTGGTTCCGGCCCATCCTAGCAGGGGGCGTGTCCCACTGCCCTTAGCACTGCCCAGGGGGCTTCCTGCCAGGTGGCAGCTGCTGACCCCAAGCCTCCCCAGTTGGTGCCAACCCCAAGGGAAAAGGGACTGCTGAGTAGTCAGGCTGGCTGCACCCTCCTCCCTTGGCACCCAACCCTCTGACATCTTCACTGGCAAGCCTAGCTTCCTGTTGTCTTCCTAATGTGTTGTAGTCATTGTCTGCTTTGGCTCTCCTGCCACTGGCCACTGTTGGGGACAGGTGGTTGGTCATGAGAACATGTGGATAAGCCCTGTCAGCTTCCCTTGTCTGAGGCCACGCTGCAGTCTGGAAAGCTGGGGCTGGCTGTCACAAGTGTCTGTGTCCCTAGGAAACTGCAGTTCTGGACCTTGGAGTTTGAGAGCCAGTCTTTCCTGTACCGACAGGTGAGCTGTATTGAGCCTTTGTGGGGGTGGGCAGAGCCAGGTACCTGTACCAGCCTTGGCTATCGTCACACAGGTTCGGAGAATGACAGCTGTGCTAGTGGCTGTGGGACTAGGGGCTTTGAAACCAGCCCACGTGAAGGAGATTCTGGACAGCAGAGACCCTTTGGGCAAGCACCAGGCTCGTGTTGCCCCAGCCCAGGGCTTGTTCCTGAAGTCAGTGATCTACGGAGACCTGGGGCATCCTAGTAAGAGGTGGGCTACTGAGGGGTCTGCCATGTTCCCCACTGATCCCACACCTGCAAGGCTGGGTCCTCACTGAGGAAGAGAGTTCTTGGTGCCAACGGAAGACCTCCTGTTGTCCTGGCAGATGGGAATCCCAGCACCCAGTAAGATGGGCACAGCAAATACTAAAGTGAACTGCCTCTGTTTCCGAAGTCCCGTTAACGAGGAAGAAAAAAAAAAACCAAGGGGAGTGTGGGTTTGGGGGTTGGCCCCCACCCCAGGCTGATCTAGGATCTACCCACAGGTCCAGCCTCTTACACCCTACAGGGCCCACAGTGTGGAAACTGACAGTGACTCTGGATGTCCAGCCAGGGTTGTGCTGGTCCAGCTGCTGGACCTCACTGTATTCGCTGCACTCAGCACTGGAGCTGCAGTGTCCCTCCCAGCCCCTGCTTCCCTTTGGCCCATACTACCCTGTTTCTGCCCCACAGGAGCTGGCGCAGGACAAAAAAGATAGGTGTGACACCCCAGCAGCCTTTGGTGCTGCTGCTCTAGAGTACCCTGCTTCTCTCTCAGGGACTGGGAGTTAACAATTAAAAGTGAGATAGCCCCAGAGGTGTGTTTATTGCCCTGCCACAAAGGTGTGCTTAGGCTGGCCTGCCATGGGACTCTATCCCTGGACGGGGACTGTGGCCAAGCCACGGGATTGATTCACACAGATGCTGTAGTCCTGAAGTGGTCCTGCTGGGCATGGTTCAGAGGAGAGGCACAGGCCCACGTGGGCAGCATGTCAGCTTGGGGTCTGGGGGAGACCCTTCTTGAGCAGTGCAGTGAGAAAGCTCCCCAGCTCCTCATCCTGAGCAGAAGACAAGGCAGTCATCTTGCAGCACGCAAGGCCCCCCACCCTTACAGGGCTTGTAGTGACCCCCAGCACCATACCTGGTAGGTCCAGGAGACCAGCAGCACCTTGGTGCCTGGGTCCTCCGAGTGGGCCGCAGCCTGGATGAGTATGGACTCCACAGTCACGGAGCCGTCGGGGAGGTGCTGCACGCAGTGGCCCTGCAGGGTGCTACAGGGAGGTCCAGTGAGACCCTGCCTGCCCTGGGATCTCACAGGGTGCGGGCAGGAAGCTGGGGAGACCAAGGCTCCTCCAGGGCTGGGGACAGGGCCAGGCTCACACCTCTTGAGGTGGCTGTAGACGCGCAGGGCCATCTCCTGCTCCTTGCGCGTGTCCTGCAGGTGCACGCGACAGGTGAAGCGCAGCTGGTGCTCTGCCAGGCCCAGCTCCTTCAGGGCTTGTTCTGAGGACACAAGCCGGAAGCTCTGCAGGGCAGGGTAAGGCGGGGCAGGGCATGTCAGGTATGTTTTGTGGGGGCTGCCCACCACCCCCGCAGCTCACTCACACTGTCCTTCATGATCAGGGTGCCATGCAAGAGCCGCAACTTTTTGGCCTCGGGAAGCAGCCCTGTGGGGAGGGACAGCCATGTGATCACAGGTTCCCTACTTGCTATCCACCCACCTGCCCTGCATCCCCACCTGCCCTCATACCCTGTGCCATCTCTCGCTTCAGCAGCCCCAGAGAAATGCCCACAGGGATGCTGGGACTTGTGGGCAGAGTCACCGTCTCGCCGTTGGCTGGCATGTAGCAGCTGACCCCTAGGGGCACAGAGACCCTCAGTCCAGACTGGCCAGCCTTGAGTGAAACTTCCCGTGCTCCCCTCAGGTACCAGGCACCTACGGAATTCCTGCTCGATCTTCTGCCGCAGGAACTCCATCTTCTTGGCCTCACCATGGACCAGCAGCACGCTGTCTGGCTCTGCCTGCCCCACCAGCTGCATGATGCCCTTGGCATCAGCATGGGCACTGAATGACATGTACTCCACCTGCATCTTCACCTCCAGCTGTGGTGCGGGGGGTACAGTTACCTCCAGCAGGGTCCTAGTCACCCACACAACCTGAGACAAGGGTGGGGACTCACCACCTGTCGCCCCTCCATCTCGAGCTTGCGCTGCCCACTGAGGATCTTGTGGCCCACAGTGCCCTGCACACAGTAACCAGGCATGATAACCTGTGGAGTAGGGATAACCTCAGCCTTGGTACATCTGGGACTTCCTGGGAGGCAACCTCCTCCCAGGCTGCTCCTTCCCTCTTGAGTCCTGCTGCAGACTCTGGGGCCAGGTTGAGCCAGTCTGAGCTGACCAGGCTGGACAGCCCCCCAGTGCCCCCACCCCCTGCCAGTGTGGGGGAAGCCTGTGAGCAGTGAAGGGGCAGTAAGTGAAGAACCAGCCTAGGCCGAGCCCTCACCATGTTCTTCTCATTTCCTGCCCACTTCCGGAAGATCTGTAGGGACTGGCCCGCATGCAGCATCCCTGGTGTGGCAAACACGACCTGCAGGACCAGTGGGGTCAGGACACAAGACTTGCACCAGATGTGCACAGGTCACCCTGTCTGGGCCTTACCATGGGACCTGGATTGTCAGCAAACGCCCGGTCAAAGGCCTTGATGTGCTTGAACTCAAACATGTTCCTCTGGACAAAGGTCTTCCGGATCTTCTGGTTGGTCCAGGTGATGAAGAGCTTGTAGTAGTGGTTGGCCTTCTCCGTCAGGCCAGTGGAGAAGTAGATGGGCACCTTCAGGTTCATGCGTTCCCTGAGGGCCCACCGCCCTGGTCAGTGCAAGGCCGCAGTGGGGGAGCACTGCTGTGTGGCACCTAAGGCACAGCACCATGGCCTGGACTTTGTCCCATGAGGGATGAGCCCCTGCTCTGGTAGCGGGAATTCAACTCATGACCTCACTTGCCGGGCAGGCACTGTGCCACTGAGCTATCTCCCTGGCCCTACCCTCTGTCCTGACCACACCACCAAAACCCTCTGCCCATGCCCTGTCAAGACAGCAGACCTTCCCCAGGCTCTTGTAGGTTGGACCAATAGCCCCGGCAACAGCTGATGGCGCTGGTGCAGTGCAGCCTCCAGGCCACAGGCAGCCCCGCCACAGCAGTGAGGGGCCAGAGACTCCAGGGTGGCCAGTGCTGCTTCATGCTCGTGCAGCTCGTAGCCTGCTCAGCTGTGTGAGAAGCCAGTTCCCATTTGTGGCCTGCCTACCCTGCACTGTCACTTGGGGCAGAGCTCCCTAAGCAGCAGCCCCAGCTGTACCTACCAGAAGGTCTCCAGCAGGATGCAGAGCTCCTGCGCTCGGCCCAGTGCAAACACAGGGATCAGAACCTGAGGACAGCAAGGCAGGCTCAGGGGGGCTTGGCGGGCAGCGTGCTGTGCCCACCCCCCTGCGAGGCAGCCGTGGAGAGAAGCAAGCCTGGAGCCCATGACTGGAGGCTGCCAGGCCCCAGGCGTCCTGAGGTGAGGCCCTCCAGGCCCCAACCCCACTGCCCAGTCTGAGTCCCAACGCTGTGGGGCAGGGGTGGGCCCCGGATAGCAGCTCGGCTGGCCAGTGCCACTACCTTCCCGCCACGCTCCACGGTCTCGTGGACTTTCTTCAGGAAGTCCCTCTCCCGGCAGCGCTTGGAGTCGCGTATGGTGGTAGCGTAGGTAGATTCCGAGATGAGCAGGCTGGGGCGACACTTATCAACCCAGGCGGCTCTGCAAGAGGCAGGCGTGGGCCGCAGTGGCCATCCCCTGAGCAGGACCTGTCCAGCCCCTCTCCTGGGCCCCTCCGCGTGGGCCTGGCCCAAACCTAGGCTCCTGCTTATGAGCTCCCAGGGCGGGCCTCCTTGTGGGTCCCCATGAGCTGTCACCATGCGGACCACCGCAATGTGCAGCTTTACCACCCCCAGGCCTCAGGGCTCCAGGGAGCCTTACCCCAAATGCCTGTCCGGAGTCATGTTATAATCACCCTGGCAAAGAAGGTGCAGTGAGGAGGGTACACCTACATCCAGCGACACACCACCCCCTCCGAGCCCCAAGCCCTCCACTGACCGTGTAGACCACAGACTCTGAGCCCACTTTGATCTGGAACATGGCAGCTCCCAGCACATGGCCTGCATAGTAGGCCTTGATTTCCAGCTCATCATCCACCTGCAGAGAGAGGGACTGCACTCAGGCAGGGAGCTTTTTTTTTTTTTTCCAAAGTTTTATTGACAGGACTGGAGAGATGGCTCAGTGGTCTAAAGCACCTACTTGAAACAAGCTTGGCAAAGCACAGGGACCACGGTTCGATCCCCAGCACCACATGCCAGCCAGCCCCGCCCCCAGGTGGGCTGAGCTGGCCACACACACACACAAAATAATAATAATAATAATAATAATAAATAAATGTTTTTTTAAAAAAGGGGGGGCAGGAAGATGGCTCAGTAGAATAAGCGCTTGCCTGGCAAGTGAAAGGGTCTGAGTTCAATCCCCGGTTCCACCCAATAAATAAATAAATAAATAAAATAAAATCTCAGTTGGGGGTGAGGGAGATAGCTCAAGAGAATAAGCACTTGCCTGGCAAGCACTTAAGGTACTGAGTTCAATCCCTGGTACTGCTAAATAAATAAATATCCCAGTTGGCCAGGTATGGTTTTACACATCTGTAATCCCAGAACCAACAAGGCTGAGGCAAAGGGATCACTGAAAGTTCGAAACCAGCCTGGGATACATAGTCCAGGATCAGCATGAACTACATAGTGGGACCCTGCCTTAAGTGAAAAAGGAAAAATGAAATCCCCACAGGGCAGCCCATTTAGTTCAAAATTGCAAGGCCTCAACAGCACACTGCTGGCCTAGCTCAGATATGCTGGGCAGTGGCATGGTCATCTGCATTGCCAGGAGAAAGGCCCAATTACATGGATGAAGAAACCGAAGCTCAACGCTGTCCCAGGTCTACAGTACCCAGCGGGACCTACGTCTACCATACCAGAAAAACAGGACGTGAACTTTGGCCACAGTCACCTAGACGTGAAAATGAGCCCTTACTGCAAAGTTTCTGCAGATGGTGATTTGTTTTGTTTTATTATTATTATTATTATTATTATTTTTTTTTTTTTTGGTGGAACCAGGGATTGAACTCAAGTCCTTGTGCTTGCCAGGCAAGTGCTTGTTCTACTGAGCCATCTCCCCGGGCCCCAGATGGTGATTTGTAAAACAGCTAAAATGATGCAGCAAATGAGATGGTCCCTTTGATGTTTTCTGTGTACTAGGGCTGCAGACAGACAAGACCTGAAGGACTGCAACCTGCAACATCTACAGCTGTCCGGTAACTGACAGCGTTTCATCTGGGGCACAGGTCCTCAGACGCGCTTCACAGAAGCCCTCAGAAGCAAGCCAGCCCAGGATTCCCAACTGCGCTGCTGGTACAGCTCCCCAACTTTGCTGAGGCGATCACCAGCCTCTGGAAAGGGCCTGTAGCACCTCTTTCGCAGTAGGAGCTTGTGAGGCAGACTCCAGACACAGCACAGCCCACAAAGTAAGATATGCTTGGCTCAGCCACCTGTGCCCCAACAGCAGGACAGCCACCACAGCGCAAGTCATGGCTCTGCCTCTCTGCCTGCAGCACACTGAGCCAGCGGGAAACATCCCAGATGCTTCTGGGCCTCCGTCACGGCCCGCCAGCCTTGCTTCCCCACTGGCCCTGCTACCTAAAGCCACAGTGACACCAGCCAGAAGGAGATGGTGCCAACAGCTGGGTCACCAGATGATACTTACTCTCCTGGACATGACATTCTGCAAGCTACAGAGATCTGCAGATGAAGACAGAATCACAAGGCTTTGTTTGTTTTTTGTAGTACTGGGGGTCAACTCGGAACCTTGAGCTTGCCAGACAAGTGTTTATACTGCTGAACTATCTCCCTGACCCCCAGAACCATAGTTTTGAGCTGACAAGCAGATCCAGGGGTGGACTGGGGAGATAGCTCAGTGGAATAAGTGTTTGCTTGGCAAGTGCAAGGTGCTGAGTTCGATCCCTGGTACTACCAAAAAAGAAAGAAGTCAAATGGAAATATTTCCAGTACTACAGCTCTTGGGCCCAGGGAGATAGCTTAGTAGAATAAGCACTTGCCTGGCAAGCGCGGGGCCCTGAGTTCAATCCCCAGAACCACAAAAGGGCAGATCTCACTCATCTCTTGAGCCCTCATAAACAAGGACATGCCCAGACATTCCCTAGCTCTCCTGCAGTCCAAGGAGGACTAAAAAATGGGACACTAATGCAAAAGGACTGTCCTGAGCTTAAGGCCAGCCTAGGTACATATTGAGACCCTGTCTCAAAAAACAAAAACATTGAGGCTGGGGAGATGGCTCAGGAGAATAAGCGCTTGCCTGGCAAGCGCCAAGGGCCTGAGTTCAATCCCCCGTTCTGCAAAAAAAGAAAAAAGAAAAGAAAGAAAAAAAATCAAAATGTATCATCTAAACACATTATCAGAGCCGGGTGGGGTAGCCCACACCTGCTATAACCCTATCACTCAGGAGGCTGAGGTAAGAAGATCACTGTGAGTGAAACTATCTCAAAAAGCCAAAAAAAAAAAAGTTATGTTGTAATTAATTAACTTTTTTGCTT